TACTACTAGTAGTAGTAGTAGTAGTAGTAGTAGTAGTAGTAGTACTACTACTACATCTACTACTACTACTACTACTACTATTACTACTACTACTACTACTACTACTACTACTTCTATTACTACTACTGCAACTACTACTTACTACTACGTACTCCTACTTACTGCTACGTAGTGCTACTTACTACTACTTACTGCCACTTATTACTATCACTACACAACGACTATAGTTTTGTGCTGTTCATTCTGTCCAGCTGTTGCGAACAGATTTGCGCGAATTGAAATACCAGTAAGAAGAACCTCAGAAACAGCCTTCAATGTTGTCAAGCAGTCGAATCTCACCACCTAAGGCTGTTCCATGCGCTGGGACGTTTGCTCTGGTGCCTTGGAGTTGAACTTGTGTGCTCGCTGTGGTTGACGTCCACGTACAACTGATGAGTGCTGCGCTGCTAGGCCGATCTCATATGCCTCACTCAGAAACCTATGATTTGTAAGATCCTGAATCCCAACGGCAAGACAGAAGCGTGAAGACTCTTGTTTGACTCAACCCCAGCATCTGGCTTCGACGTCCCTTGCAAGCCGCTCGCTGAGGTGCAAGCGAATACCGCCAGGCAGGGAGCTTGCAAATGGATTGAAAACAACAGGCTTGACATGGTTTTGGAATTTAGGACTGCAGGGTTTTCTCCTTCCGGCCGGTTTGATGATTGTTGCTTGCACCTTCTGACAGTGCATAGCATCCGGCACCAACATCAGGAAGCTCCAGGGCAGCTTGAGGTCAGCAGTGTCACACCAGAGCTGTCAGTGCTGACATCCTTCAGAACATGAGTGGCTCCCACTGGCAGATGCGACGCGGCCCCCCTTCATAAGGCACAACATTCAGTAACGAGTAGGCTTAGTTTTTTGCTGGTTGAAACTTTCCCGCTGGAGCATGTCGTCATTTCCTAGAGGCCCAGGCTTCAGACTCTGGTAGTGCCGCAAGTGGATTACGCATGTATATATCGATGTTGAAGATATGCAAAGGTTAGAACTCGTTGAAAGCCTGGTGTCTGCACCCACGAAGCCGCATAATTGAATCCAGGTTAGGAAAGACAAGTGATGACAGTCAAAGGCTTCGAGTTCTGTAGGACGGAGTTGCAGTCCAACACTCACTCTGGATGCAATCATGGTGCTTGACGACAGCATTATCTCTTTCGATTGGTTTGTGCTTCTCCTACGATTCTATGAAGACGCTACATAAGACAATGCATGTGTCAGAACCCACTTGTACCCTCCTCCCTTCTTTTTGTTAGCCTTCTTCTCTACAACTCAATGAACCTGGGGGGAAACGCCCTTCTTCCTTGCTGATTACTTAACCCCAAGTCCTAAGCAGACCTTTCATGGAATTCGCTTGGATTCCGCATCGCAGCGCCGAGCCAGGTGGGGATGAAGTGGAGATGTGCGCAGGCTCTGCTCTGCGATGGGTTGGGGATTGCCGGTATTTAAGATCTAGTCCTGCAGGTGCTTGTTAAATATGTATATATATATATATATGTATGTACACATACACGTATGTGTACATATCAAGTGCCTACATAAGCATCTTCATACAGGCACATATGCGTACACCAATGTGTATATATATATATATATACCAATGTATACATACATGAGCACTATAAGCTGGAGCCTTTTCTCATAGAGCAGACCCGGTGGTCCCAGACACTTCGCAGTTGCAGAACTGACCAGTAGCACGGCATTCCCACACTACTGTAATGTTTCTGGGCTGCTGAGTACAAGTTATTTTCTCATGTGCATCCAAACCCTGTGATTTCTACTTAAAGCAGCCCCTATAGCACAGCTCAGTCGTGGAAATCTCTGTCTCGTTCAGGCGGCACAAAGCGCAGGAGGAAAGCAACTACGTCAGGCTCGAGAACTTTGTGGACGTGGTGCTCTGAATTTTGGGCTGTTGTGGGTGAGGCCTTAAGTATTGGCGTCTAGGGTTTTAGGGCTTAATAGCCACCATCACAAAAGCTTCAGAACCTGGAAGCCTTCCGATTCTAAGCAGACTTGAGCGTTCGTCGCTGTGTGTAAGTCTGAGTAACCCCGCACAACCTTCCCCCAAAAGACTGAACCAAGAAAACATAGCCGTGGACACAGCGTCAGCTTACGATATAGGGGTCTGAAGAGGTAGAAGAAGTATGTACTCAGAGTGTCCCCTCATAGTCCCTAAATATTTACAATGATATACCCTCCCTCCTGCAAGCCCGATTCTGAATGAGATTCTGATTCTACCTATGAAGGCCACCAAGATTCAAGAAGCCTTGGACAATATTGAAGCCCAAGCCCTCGATGCAACTCAACCCCCCAAGCCAACTTACCTTAGGGGGCGAAGCAAGCATCAGAAGTACATCATGTACGCCTATAGTCCTTATGCGATGAAATTTCAATATACCCCTCAAGCCCTATTCAGAGAAGCAAGCTGGAGTATAATACCCCACCAAACAATGCGCTGGTCACTCGTATGTATTGTTGTAGTGGTGATGTGGTTCTTCTGGTGGTTACGATTCGCATGGGCTACGATCAGTTGCATGTCGGCTCAATTTCCATGTTTATCGTTTCTTCGGTTTTCTTCAGTTTGGACAGTCCCGCGCCGTAGTTTCACTCTATTCACAATTTGTCACCGGGACAGCGGCCTGTAGATGGAACAGCTGCACTGCCGCTGCCTCAACTTTAGTCTCAACCCTACCCATCAAGTCACGAAACCTCGCTGCCATCCCATTTGCAGACAAGGGCGGGTTTACAGGGACACAAGGGTTCAAAGACTTGATTGCGCATGTCTCGGAGCCTTTTTGGTGTCAAGGGCCGCATGTCAGCTCATGTTGTCGGTTATCCATACACATAGTGCGAGCCTTCCCGTCAGATTTGTGCAAAGTGTGCTGAACTGCGGCTCTCTTAGAAAGTTTGAAATTGGTGGCCCACTCTCTGGGGCTTCTCACCTCAAATCTCACCGCGTCTGTGACGCCGGCATATGTCTTCGCGGCCTACGGGCCAGGACCGGGCTTGATGATTTTGCAGTCAAGACCACAGACAGACGCAATTGCGCTCACAGATACACACACACTCTCTCCCTCTCTCTTTCCCTCTCTCTTTCCCTCTCTCTGTCTCTCTCTCTCTCTCTCTCTCCGTCTCTCTCTCACACACACGCACATGCGCAGACACTCAGGCACGTAGAGACAGAGACACACGTACAAAAAAACTGCACACACACACACACGCACGCACACACACCAACACGTGCACGCCCGCACGGATGCACTAACATGCATGCATGGGTGCTGGCTCCTCATGCTTTGACGTGAGACCTATATAGCTGAATGTCCGACATTTCGTTGACGACCCTACGGTGCAAGTTTCAATTCGCGTCGGCAGGATCGTCCCCACGAGCATTTGTTGCTTCAGAACCTCCTGAAGCCTGAGACATCAGTTGAGCCAGCCATGGGTACCGCAACTTGACGGCGAAGTCTGCAACTAATCCCCCTTGCTCATAGGCATAGTGAGAAGATATGTCATGGACTGCGCAAGGCATTCGCATGCAGTAGAGCCTTTGGCTTTTGGGCTGCACGCGTGCAATCCCTTTTTTTGTTTATGGATCAGTGCGCTCCTCGTGTGGAGTCTGAAGGGTTGATCGTGGCACCCGGCAGCCCTTGGCTCGGGCATCCCGTGGGGTTTAGGCTTCTGGGTTTTGGGTTTTGGGTTCATAAACAAATGAAAAAGACCTGCAAGGCAAACGGATGAAGGTTCCCCCCAAGCCACGCATGAGGCGAGAAGGTGGTGTTTGAGCAGCTTTGCGAAACGCCTAGAAGATGTAGGTCGACTCCAGATCTAGTACAACACATCTCCACCTAGCGTCCCCTTCCGAATTTGCCTGCTTTGACCATAGTGCCCAAACCATGGAAGCATGAAGCTTGCCATGTCACGCCGTCGAGCCTTACAGGTGAGCAACTTGGAGCAAGAACACCTCTTAGCAGTGCAGAAGTTCCTCGCTGGTGAAGATGACGATGCAGAGGACTGCAGGGCCAGGAGTTCCTGAGAGCAGATGTTTGGTTCATGTCATAAGACTGTCACTGGGATCTTCCGATGTCATGGACACAGCAGCTTCTGAATAAATCAATCCATGCCTGCAAGGATGTTGTGGTTACATAACAGAAACAGTAACAACAGGATCAGCAATACTATCAGTGTCAGTGTCAAGCAGAATGGAAACAGCGACCACAACCAAAAGCACAGGCAGAACAAGAACACACACGCACAGCTAGCGGTCTTGAGCATTTCCAGATGAGGCGGCAGAGCGCGAAGACCTGAAACCACACAGGAAGAGGAGCTGGACTTCAAGGGTACCCCCACAAGCTTCGTCGACCTCGCCGCCTCCTGGATGGCATTCCGCTGGGACAGTCATGTTCGTGTCAAGTATTCTGTTGATCTGTCCAGACTTCAGTCAGTGTCACCCGGGATCCGTGCGAGTTTGTATTGGTAGACTCGGTCGTGCCATGCGCCCGACACCTTCGATTACCAAACTGCCCCAGAAGCCCTGCATTCCTAGATACTTTATCCACACACTGCGGTGGTTTTGGGTGTGAAAACTGGGGCTGAAAACTTCGAAACCCCTTACTCCCCGAACACTCCGCCCCGACAGTTTGTCGGGGTTTTGTGGCAGTAACCGTTCGTGGGGCAGTGCAGGACTCGGTTGCCCAAACTCTTCGTCACACTCATTCATTGCCCTCGGCCGTGTTGTGTTCGTGTCACCCATCCTGAGCTTGCACTAAAGGGGAGTTTCCGAAATTAGGGGTACCGTATTTTCGGGTCCTTATAATAGGGATCCTATTATTTAGGGTACTATATTAGGGTCCCCTATTTTCGGAAACCCCCAAATGCCATGAGCTCATGGGGCTGAGTTCCAAGTTCACGTCCCGTTCGCTTTTCCCTCTGCTGCGTCTCACTGCATGTACAAGGCCCCATTTTCAATACACTTAGAGGATGCATAGTTGTGTATACAACTTTTCCTAGAACGGAATGATGAGAGACTCAGGACACCATCTCGACGACCATTGACTTCGAATCACCTCCCGGTGCTCCTGTGCCTTTGCCAGAGGATGGCTGGGGCGAAGCCAAGTGGGTGCACAGGGCTTATGATGTCGGGCCTGGCGCTTCGAGTTCAACTTTCGTCTTTCTGCCATAACAGTACGGCGGATAACGGGTTTGATGAATCCAAACTTATTGGGGCCTGCCCATCATATGACATTTGAGATTGGCCCAGGGAGTAGACTGCAAAAATATGGTCCTGGCTCGTTGCGCTTCCTTGCAGCACCGCAGCTCCAGAAATCCATCCAGCCCTGCCCTGGCCTTCCAGCCCTCCAGCCCGCATCCCTCACAAGCCTCCACGAGCGGCACGTCAGACGCTAGGCGGTCGGCACGGCATGCGACCGAACAGGTGCAGAGCCACGAAGCCGAAGCGGTCAAAAGGTTTCCGGCTTCATCTATTTACGCAGGTGTGCACAAAGGCGCCGCCCCGGGGTCGGAATAGATAACAAAAAAAAGGGGTTTGGGGGGTTTAATTTGGGGTTTGGGACGGGGGTCGCGAGGATGAGTTGGCAGTAGAAATTGGAGATTGTACTGCCGGAGAGTCCCTCAAAACTTCGAGTATATCTTCTAACACCCATATTCTTAGCACTGAGACCCCAAGGTTACTTGGAAGCAAGCAGAGCCAAAGTTCTCAGTGGCTCATTTCGGCACTGCATCCCCGTTTGTACGATCATACCCCTACATTAGCTTAATTATCCCCTACATTACCTTATTAAACCCTTATCGTGATCCTTCCAGCACCGCGGTAATATCCTTAGGCTACGCGATGCTGAAGCCCCCTTGCACCTGAGGTGGCCTCCGACACTAGCAGTAGCTCCAAGCTGATCCTCGCAGCTCAGATGAGATCAGCACCCATATGTCTTTGGCTGTCTAGCTAAAGGTCTGGGACTCCATTTAACACCGGCTGTGAAGCCAAGTGCACGGGACAGATAGATAAATAGTTAGATAAAAATGTAGATAGATAGGTTGGATAAATGGTTAGATAGAGAGAGAGAGAGAAGAAAAAAAAAACAAAAAAGATAGACAGATAGAGAAATAGATAAATACAGACACAGACAGAGACAGACAAACAGACAGACAGACAGACAGACAGACAGACAGACAGACAGACATAGATACA